TGCCTTACTTTGAACAAAGGTCAAGTTTCAAACCACAACCCAAAATCTGAGGCTAGAATTGCCTTTTCTACAGAAAATTTCCCCAGTTCCATCACAGACCTCCATCACTATGCTGGTGCCTTCCTGTAGCTCTTTTTGGCTTATGCATCCCCAAGCATCATCTGTGACTAGCCAGATCTGTTCTTGAAGGTTTGCCCCTGATGTCTGGTTTCCAAAGCAGAAATCAATGGGTAGAGCCCAGAACCTCCCAAACATCAAAAGAGAAAGGGAAAACAATGTTGCCCTGTTTCCGGATCACAGACATGACCTAGGAAAGCCACGTGCTGGCTGTACCACTGCTTTCCCTCAAGAGAGTGTCCCCAGCACGTTTTGTAGAGTTTGGAGAAGTCTACTTGTGAGGGTCCACCTAGAAATGGTTGGCCGTGGTTTTAGATTTTAGTACTCCTGCTAGGTACTTCCTACTGCAGGAGACCCTGAGGTCTCATCCCCATCTAAGTGAATTCCAGCAAGAAGTTCTCTCAGATGAGTTCTGCCTGTGATTACTATTAAAATAAATTGGAACAAAAGAGACGAAGAGATCAGGTACCTAAAGCATACTCTGTGTCCTCGTGTTAGTGTCTAAATTGTACTGACCTCAGCTTGTGGCTATGAATTGTCTCCAGGTAAGCTGTTTTGTGGAAAGAGCCTTCTCCTGTAGGCAGCAAGCATATTTGTCACATTTGTACTTGACATCTTTAACGTAGACCCAAGAAACTAGTCTGGGCAGATTAAGTCTCTTCTTTACTACATGACCCAGTCACCATGTGATACTGTCAAAAATAAGGAGCAAAATTCATGAGTCAGTTGCAAAAGCTGGGGAACTTGGCTCACTCCCCTGTCAACGAGCTCCTGGTCACGCTAACCCTGTCACATTGTTTTTGAGGCAGACCGACTCTGACCGGGAGCTTCTTTCTCTCCCTGCTGCACCTCCCTTGCCTCTTCTACCCTTAATGGAAGTGTCTTATTTACTGATTTTGAATTTTAAGTCTCTGCTTCACATACATGAGAGACCTATTGTCTCTGGCATCTCCAGCCCTGAACTGTGTGCCATTGAGTATTTTAAATAGGTTGTTATGGTCCCAGTGCTGCTGTTAGTGAGAAGATAGCTCTATATCTTGACCACGTAGAATAAGTTTCTTCTCATCTCTATGTACCATTGTCTAAGTGTCCATGTATACTCATGGTAGAGGGTCGGTGGGGACATGCCTGGCTCTTGTCCAGGGATAACACTATATTGGCAGGGCAACCCAGGTTGCCCCAAATTCAGTTATTAATTTTTTAGACAATCCCCAGAATGTACTGTTGACATTCAGTCCATCATTGCCCCAGCTTATAAGGAAATTCTCAGAAGTTTGCATTCAATTTCAAATGGATCAGGTTTTCATTTTATGCCCCAACATTACACAATTATGGCCATTCCTTCTTTTCTGGTAGGCCCACAAGTATTGAGGACTATCGGATGGCAGGTTATTACAAGCACAGGGTCAATGAGAATCTCCACTCCTGAACGCTTGGGTTAATAGCTCCCTCCCCTCCCCCTCCAGTCCTCTCCTGCTTGGAAGATGCCTGTTTCTGCCACTCCATCCTGTGCAGTGTGTGTTGCTTCTCCGACTACCTTTTTCTCTTCCTCCATCTCAGTCTTGTGTAATCTTTGGGGTTAGAGAGACCACTGTGTTTGCTGCCCATGAATATTTCTCAACTGCATTGGACCAGTTTCTTCAAGTCTTTGTGCTGCAGTGAGGGCCAGGGAGAGGAAAATGGTAGAATGAGTGGGAAAAAAAGAGGAAGTAGGAATTGCACAGAAAACAGAATAATACTTTGAAATGTAACCCCACCACATGCCATACAGATTTAGAATCTTTCAGTCTGATTGTGAATAATTTAAACAGCATTATTTTGGCAGTTTAATTATGCAAATAATAGCTTGAGGTCTGTCATCTCAGTGGTTAAGGTGAGAGGGAGGGAACAGTCACTTTAAGACAATTAGAAAGCATCAAGGGAAGAATGATGTATAATCAGTGACATACATACGGGCTTCTAAAATGAAAGTAGTACAGTTTTGTCTAGATTTGTTCCATAAACTGCCAATCAACTGTACAAGGTAATGAGTTTGGCCAGATGTTTTCCAATTAAATTGGTACAACCTGTCTCTACAAAATGATAATGTCTGACTTTAAATCTTCATTCTTTATCAGATTCTGTGCTCTAAACTTTACAAATATATGGTTCTCAGAACAACTCTGTGAGTGAGTGTATTTTATCTTGGTAAGTTATAGAATTCCTGTTTTACAGAGTGGGAAATTGAGCTTTCATTTTGCCACAGCTCACACAGCTATTAAACGGTGGGATTCAAACCCAGGTCTTAGTGACCCCACAGCCCCTGAGCCCAACCCCACATCACACCTTCGCTGTTGTAAGTCTGTAGGGAAACAAGAGTCCAAGCTGACTCTGGCAAAACCCTGGCATCACCACATCTTGAGCATGAGCTCAGCTTGAGGGTACAGGATGTGCCAAAGCAGAGAGCATGCTGAGATGCCTTCCTGGACCTGGAGAGATGGTCTGGAGTGGGCAGACCCTTGAGGAATTGAGATAACAGTTCCTCTTTTGTGTATATGCACATTTACGTGTGGATATTTAAGTAAGAATTGTCCCAGCAAAGGGGTAACTAATTTTATTCTTTTATTTTTTTCCTTTAACATTTTCATTCTTTATTTTTGGATATGTAATAATATATTTATATGAATCAAAAACTAGACAATAGGTCTTCCTTCCACCCCTTCAGCCCAGTTTGTACCCCATTCTCTTTCTCATGGATGTCTTTTCGGAATTCCTTTTATGCTAATATAAATAAATATAAATTTATACTCCTCTTTCCTCTTTTCTATATAAATTGTAGTCATTTAAAAATTCTGTATCTTCCTTTGCTCTGTTTCACATAGAGATTTATCTTGGATACCTTTCCCTGGCAGCACATAGACAGCTTCCTCATTCTTTTTGACAATGGCATACTTTGTCATGGTGTTTGATGTATTAGCATTTATTAACCAGTCCTCTTTTAATAGACATTTGGCTTGTTTCCAGTCTTTTGCTCTCACTAACCAATACGGGGAAGCACCTTTAATATGTCATTCTGCATATGTGCATGTATGAGAGTACATCTATAAGTTTCTAGAAGTAGGATTGCTGGGTTGAAAAATATACATTTATAGCTTTTACTGATAATGCTAAATTGCCCTCCCTAAGGGCTGTACTAATTTGCACTCCCAGCAGCAATGTATCAGTTGATTACAGAGTTAACACATTTTTGGATTTGGGCCCATCTGATAAAAATGTTTGGACTTAGGCCCTTCCAATTCAATAAAATATTGTAGGTTTCTCCCTATGATTAAAGTTAAGCAACTTTTCATATGTTTTAAGAGCCATTTGTATTTCCTTTTCTATGGAACTTTGTTCATTTCCTCTTGGCCTACATGTCTTATCAATTTCTAGGAACTATATATTAGGAAGAATAACAATTGTCTGTGATATAAATTGAACATATTTCTTCCTATTTGTCATTTGGCTTTTTTTCCTTCTTGCTGTTCATATGATTAAACCTGTTAGTCTTATGTCTAATCAGAGAACATAAGCTCAAGTCAAAGGCCTTTTCCACGCCAAGGTTTTGTTCTCCCATGTCGTTGTCGAGTAGTTTTATGGCTCTATTTTTCCTATTTAAATTTTTTACCTACTTGGTGTTTATTTTGGTTTGTAGTAAAATGTTTGGATCCAACTTTTTTCAGATGGCTGTCCAGGTGCACCACACCATGTGTTAAGTAATGGTAATTTAGTGCCCACTGTGTGAGATGCCACCTTCATCAATACCATATGTGTGTGTGTGTGTGTGTGCACACATGCGTATGAAATATTAACATGGTTTTATTTTAGAGTGCTGGAAGGAAGGCTCAATTTTTCTATTGTAGATCTAGAAATTTCTTTTTTATTGCAGTAAAATATAAGGTAAAATGTACCATTTTACCCATTTTTAAGTAATAAAGTTCAATGGCATTAAGTACATTTGCATTCTTGTGCAACTGTCTCCACCATCTGTCTCCAGAACCTTTTCATCTTCCCACCATGTATGACTTGGAGTCAGATATACTACTCATTTTATAATACACTATCCACCTGTGAGGTGTGTACTGATTTCAGGGATGTTAAAATGTGGGAAAGTGCACATCTTAGAATTTATGGAATGCAGTTCTAAATCCTCAAATGTATTTGGTCTGTTTCTTGCTATTTTGTTGTATTTCATTGGTTTGCCTCTTCCTGAGCCAGTGTCACACTGTTTTACTTATTGAAGATTTAAAGTATATTTTAATATACGATACAGCTAGTTTTCCACAGTGGTCTTTTTCCAACTCTTCTTGTCTGTCTGTTCAGATAAACAGGAAGCTTCCCCTTGGCTCTTGTAAGTCTTTCCCTCCCTATTTCTACCTCTAGTCCTCTTAAATTGTAAAAACTTACACATAGAAGACCTTCTTGTGCCTGATGATCAGCTATAAGTCTGGACCAGAGTAGCTTCTCTGAAAGTTTTCATTTGTTCTAGACTTTCTTTTCCTGGGTTTTTACTTCAGCATTGCCGTGGGAGGTACAGCCTATTCCTGATTTCCATTGTTGCATAAAAGGAAGATGCTGCCGTGAAAGTTCTTATAATCTTTTATTCCTTTTGTATCTTGTACATCGAATGTTAGTCTTTTTCAGCAGAGTAAGCATTGTTTTTACAATGATGAAAAAAATCTTAAATGTTTGCAACCCCATCAGGGTTCAGTGTGGCTCACTAATGCATTTACCCTCAGTAAAAGTTTGTTGGTTTGCCAGTTATTCCTATTAAATTTTTAGCATTTTTAATATTGTATTACTAGAAACTTGGCTTTATTTGCATTCATAGATCATAATGTGTTTCTTTTTTTATTTTACTGAAGAACCTATTGTAAGAGCCAGTAAATCCAGTGGAAAATGGCCTTCAGCGATCTTACTTCAAGGACAGTGCGTCTTTATGATAACTGGCTCAAGCATGCTGGTAAGTAACCATGTTTCCTAATTGAGACTCATCCTTCCTTTCATGACAGATTCTCGTGTTTAATAGGATTTCACTGAAACAGAATGACAGATTGTGCAGCGTAAGACTCCCTCAAGGATACCCAAAATCTTATTTTTATTACTAATTAGTAAAGAAAAAGTGTCAGGGCTTTCATTACAGATATGTGCAATGATAGATCTACAGAGATGTTCATTGTGATGTTTACAACAGTGAAAATGGTTTTACTATTGAGTGAAGAGAATCAGTTAGTAAATGATGGTACATTCCAACCGAGTAACCATTAACAGTGATTTTGGAGGCACAGTGCTCTTAGGCTTGATTCTGCCCTCACACTCCTCCTAGGGGAGATAACAGTTATCTCCACCAAGGGCTCTGTTCGGGGTGGTTCTAGAATGGTAATGGCTGAATCCACACCCCTGCCCCAGGGGTGTATCAGAATGGGCGGGGAGTGTTTCCTGGGGTGACCGCTAACTACTTCTGAAATGCCTGCTTTCTCCTCTTGCCCATTAAAAAAAAAGGTTATAGAAAAACATTTAGCCCCACAGCAAGAAGTTTAAAGATATGTTAAATGAAAGCAGGTTATGAAACACCACATGTATTTTTGTGTAGGGGTTAGCAGTTATCTCTGTATGGTAGTGATTTACTTATCTATATCTACCTAGATTTCCTTAAACTAATAACAGGTGTTGCTTTTATAACTATTACAAAATGTTCTAAAAATATAACAAAGGTAAATTTTTAAAAATAGACAATCAAGCATTTTAGAGCTGAGACGGACCTAGATATGATCAAAGCTAACTCCTCATTTTCGAGTTGAAAGAACCGAGACCTGGAGAGGTGGCTAGTTGTCGGCCACTTCTAAGTTGTCAGCAGGAAAACTAGAACCTATGTTTTCTGATTAGGATTAGTATGCTGGTGTTTCACATGTGAATTATTTTATACATGTTCCACTGCCATCACCACTTTAGATTAGTTCTCGCCTGTCAGCCAGAAATTGCAAGCTCACTATATTCAGGAGGAAAAGGTGCCACCTCTTGGCACCTTTGGTAGGTCTTGGGACCTACCAAAATTGGCATTATATTCCAATTAACATTAATTTCAGCCATGATACACTATTTCATGCTGCCGTCATTTTCAGCAGACTGCTGAAGACCAATTTCATTTCACTAAAAAAGGTCCCGACAGTTTTCCCTCTGAAGAATGCCAAGGATCTAAAAAAGATCCCATAAATAGAGGTGCCTCACTATGGGAGGGAAATAAAGAGTGATTATTTTCAAATTTTCTTCTTCTCTTTTTGTCTTTCTTTTTTGTTTATTTTCCTTTGGCGGGCGGGGGGGGTTCAACTTATGTAATGATGCAGAGAACATACAGATTTCTTTAGAGGTTGTTCTTTGAAGGTTTATAGTAGTTTTTATAAATTCAATATTTAATTTAACGACTGTATTTCATTGTCTTTGAAAAGTTTTAATTTTTATTCATTTATTTTTTAAATGTTAATAATATAATTGCCTTTCAAAGTAGAGGTATGCCTTGCTACCTGAATTCTTGTGATTTGAACTTGGGAATGAAGTAGTTTTGGGTACATTTTTTGAAATACACCTGTTTGGAAGAACAGATCCCTTGCTATTCACTATTCCAAATGCAGGAACCCAAGAGATTCAAGTAATCAATATGCTAAATCAAGAGCCAAATCGATTTAAATGATGGTGAATATTTGTATAGTGCTAGAAGTATAAAATATTTAAAAATGAACTACATCTGATTTCCACTTCTACTTGTATCCGTGGATCAGCTCTTTACTTTTTATTAGGAATACTTACATTGAAAAGCTGAATATTATTAGGTCAGAAGAGGGAATGACCAAGGGCTGAGGGTGGTAGTGGAGCGACAAGGAGAGCCCTGGAAACAGTGCCTCAGGCAGTGCAGGAAGGATGAGAGGGACAGGCAAGCAGTGCTACCATCTGAAGTTGGGCTAACTTGAAGTCTTGAGAGAGGAGGGCAGGTATGGAAAATGTAATGCAAAAACCTAAATGTAAGTTCTGACACTACTGTGTACTAGCTAGGTGGTCTTGAACCAGTGATGTATTGTCTGTGAGTCTGCTTCTTTGTTAGTAAAAACAGAGATGAGAATGCTACCTACCAGCTACCAGACAATGTACATGAAAGTGCTCTGTCATTTGGGAAGTTTCCCAATGCAAGCAGGAGTGGTGGTTTCACATGATTGATAGAGCATTTTCATCTTAAAATACTTTCAGCATAACATATCACCTTTTAAAGAAGTGTTTCACATTTTTCCCCCTGTGTTGAGATTTACATCTTTGTAAGGACACTTTCAAGTAAAAGAGGAGAGGGTTTTTGTTCCTGCTTAATGGGGTATTGATCTCCGAAAGCCATTAGGAATTGTTTCTGGCCATCCGAGTTCAGTTTTACTTTGTTTAGCTTGGGAAGTTCTGAGCACCTGATCAAGGGCCAAGAATTTCTTGTGTATTCTTGGCTTTGTTCCTAATCCTGAGTCACCTTCAGGAAACTTACTGGTATTCTTTGGTTTTCTGATTGCTAGAGAAGTTGTGATCATGCATAGTTATTTCATGTGGAAAATTCCGTAGCTACGGAGTTAAAAAATGGATTAATTAATACTTAAGCTATAAGAGGATTTATTATGACTCTTAGATATGAAGTGCCAAATTTTGATAAAATTTTTAATGTTTAAAAATCAGCTTTCCTTGTATTAGGATGGTAATAACTTGTCAGACTTAGTTGGGATCTTTTTGCAAGAAGATGGGATCCTCAGTAAGAGTGCTGCCATTCTGAACCTTGCGTACTTCACCAAGTACTGAGGTACATGCTTGCTTCTTCTTCCAGCTTCTTCTTGCTGGTGCTTAGAATTGTGAAGTGTGTACTCTTTGAGCTAGTACATGCTACTTGAGAACAGAACATTGCCTTACAAGTTGTTGATGGACAAGTTCATTAATACTCTATGCATGTGGCACTTGTGTTTCCCCTGTACTCTCTCTCTCTCTGTGACACACTTAGAAAAGAATGATCAGGCTGGTAAATAAGTCACAACTTTGGTAGCCACTGGGGTGTGGACTCTCAGACAGCCAGCCTTCTTTGCATCCTCTGCTTTCATCTCAGTTCTGCTCATGACACTTAAACCCAGCTCTGATGCCAAATAGAAGATGCATCATCAGTCCTTTGGCTCGGGGAAACAGAGCTCACCTCACATGTGAACCTTTTGTAATTTGTGAAATCATAGACTGAATCAGGATCAACTTCAAATGAGCAGCCTCCTTCTACCACTGCCCCCACTAAGTCACCATCCACACCTGACTTGTAAACTTTTCATCATCCACTACCTCACATGGGAAATATTAAAGACTTTGGATTTTATCTGCTCAGTAGAGAGAGCTAATTGAAGCAGAGGAATCATCTGAGCAGAGCTTACTTTTAGGAATTTGGCATTTGTATGGAAGACCAGATGTAGCCGATTGGATCAGGAGGCAGGAAAACCACATGAAAGACGGTTGCAGGGCACCTAGTGAGGGACTCTGGGGCCCTCAGTATAGGAGAAAGTAGCTCGCCAAACCTCTGTTCTCAATTGAGAGGTCATCTGACAGGTCATCATGGTCACCTGGGCCATTTTTTTCAAAATATAGATGACTGCAACCCATATTCTCGGACCCTAGGATTCTGATTCAGTTGGACCAGGGTCATTTTTTTGGCCACTTGACTTTTAAGCCCTCCAGAGGTGATCCGGCTGTGCTGACAGAATTGACACCTGCTGCGGTAATAGGAGCTACACTTACTCAGCACTTGGGCTGTGGTGGCCTCTTTACATGCAGTACACCACTAAATCCTCTGTGAGACACATGCTGTTTTATTTTATTTTACTTTTCAATTAATTTTACATTCAACATCATTTTGTATTAGTTTCAGGTGCACGGTGTAGCAGGTTTGTTTGTCATTCATATGCTTTACAAAGTGTTCCCCCTTGCTGTGTTCAGTACGTACCTGGCACCACAGGCAGTTATTACAATATTGACTACGTTCCCCACGCTGTGCTTTACCAATTGGTACCTCTCAATCCCCTCACCTTTTCCGCCCAGTCCCCCACACTATGCCCTGCAGTACGGGCTGTTTTATGCCCAGTTCACAGATGAGGAAATTAAACTGAAGGACTTTAAGTCAATGGCCCCAAGGCACATAAGGAGTCAGGAAAGGAGTCAGAATCAAAACTCCCGAGCTTTGCTGAAAAGGGATTTAAAAGCTTAGTGTTTTGTTTTATTATTTGCTTTTAAATAACAAGAAATCAGATTAACTAGCTTTCCTCTAAGGATATAGTGATTTAAAAAAATCTGTAGAACTTGGAAGTCACACACAGGGTATTTTAAAAGGCGTTTGCTTAAAATGTTAAATTTTAGGAAAGCGTTATTTATTTTAAGACTGTTTTCTACTGTTTCCTGCGCCAGCCCAGCATGCTTTTCCTGACTCGTGTTTTGTTTGTGCCCTTACCAGCAGAATAACAGAAAGGTGATGTCACTGGAATTTCTCCCCCCTGCTGAGTCCATGCCAGAGTAAAATAAAATATATCTCTATTCAGGAATTCCTTTACCGACACTTACCAAAAACCAACTAGTTTTCAGTCATACATGTGATGTCTTTTAATAACAGAAACATTAGAAAAAATAAAAACCATTACTACTGTCACCATCCAAAGGTGATAAAATTAATTAACATCCTTGCACAGGTCTTTTTTTGGTACTAGATTTAAATCCTTATTTCACTGGAGGTAAAAGCTAGCCATATTAATAAGGCTCATAATATTTTGTATTTAAGGTTTGGATTATTCACTGATAGAAGAAACATATTAAAGTTTGATCAGTTCTGATTCTGTTCCATGGTCCCCGGTTGTGTGACAACTTTTATTTAGTGAGACTTCCCTGGTGAGGTATGGAGCTGTGGCTAGGGATCCCTGTGGCCCTTTTTTTTCCCCCTTCACTGATTTGGGGGGTGGGGAGGGAGAGAGAGAGAGAAACATCGATTTGTTGTTGCACTTATTTATGCATTCATTGGTTGTTTCTTGTATGTGCCCTGTGCAGAGATCGAACCTGAAACCTTGGTGGATCTAGGTGACGCTCTAACCGACTGAGCCACCCAGCCAGGGCTCTCATGGCCTTCTTAAAATCACATGGCACACAGATGTCCCGGAAAACTTGTGAAGGAAGGAGGCTAATAGAAGCAATAAAAGACTTCAGTGACATGTTCTTGGATAGCTGATTTCAAAGTTCTTTCCAATTTAAACTGTAACCGCCTTAATTTTAAAATATTTTTAATTTTGACAACTTTGTGTGTTTATGAATGTCAGCAGACTTTTATTGAGTTTCTGTTTGGGTAGGAAGTCAGGCTTGAAGGGTATTCAAAGTTTTCCAGTAGTTGGCTATATCATTAATAGTTTAAATGAGCAAGGGCTATAACCCCACCCCCCATCTCTCTTTGCCAACAGGTAAAAGCGACGGTATTTAGCAAAGTAAGGTTAGTCAGGGTGCACTCAGTTTTGAGTCAGATGCACATGAAAACTTATCCATACTTATTTTATTGTAATGTTCCAGCTTCATGAGTCAGTTTAGTAAAATTACCCCCAAACTACTTAAGATTATATAGATAATCGTATTTTGTCTTGAGTGGCACTTTTCAATTCATCTAACTTTCCTGGCCTGGAACTAGCAGTGATCAGGCCACTTTCTTTTTACACAGTTGTAAGGCCATTACATTTTTTTTTTACTTAAAATATCCAATTTGGACTCTTAGAACCCACACTTTAGATACTTAGATGCTAAGGTAGCTTTCCATTTTATGATTCTGATATAATTGAAAATGTCCCAGTTTTCTTGGGGAAAGAAGAACATTAGAAAACAGAAAACACAAACATTTTGTATATAGAAGAATGTCTGGATGGAAGAATTCTAAAATGTTACTAGTGGTTATAGATGGGTGGTAGGACCTTGCTGAGTACCTCCTGTCTTCAGTTTCACTCTGCATGCTGTGCTGGGCCCTGGGGGAATGACCAGTATGGATTGTACCCATGGGCTTGCTCCCCTGCCCTTTGGTTTTCAGTTGGGTTCACCCAGTGGAGGCCCCTAGGAAAATTGGAGAAAGGGAGGAGGGCAGTGTTGGATATCAGTTCCCCTGACTTGCAGAATTGCCTTGTGCTGGCTGAATCCCTCAGCTAAAGGTCACAGCCCTTATCCAGATGGTTTCTTCATACAGCTGTCTCCTGTGTGCTGGAAACCACTACCTCTCTTTGCCCTTAGATACCTAGAGTGCGAACAGCCTCCGTTTCTAACCCCAGCACTATCCCTGAGGATTTCCCTTTACCCTTCCTGAAGATCCTAGTAATAATTTCCCAGCCAGCCCACTGTCAATGTTAAGGTGCAGGTGCTCACTTCAAGAAATGCTGGCTGCTGTCAGTTATCTCTTGGCTGAGTGGATGTGCACTTATGTCTTGTTTTTCTCTTAGATCCAAGAGTTGAAGACTGGCTCCTCATGTCCTCGCCTCTGCCACAAACCATCATCTTGGGACTCTATGTCTATTTTGTCACTTCCCTGGGACCAAAGCTCATGGAAAACCGAAAGCCCTTTGAACTCAAGAAAGCGATGATAACGTACAATTTTTTCATAGTACTCTTTTCTGTGTATATGTGTTATGAGGCAAGTGTCTTCAGTATTCCTAAGGGGAGAATTTTGCTGAGTCATCCTGTTTTATGTTTCTTGTTGTGGCTGTTAAACTCTGCAAGATTTAAGGAATTTTAGAAACGTGGCTCACTAAGTAGGGATTTGCCCCAAAATTGTCATGTGTAGGCCAGATAATAAACTCTTTAGGGGATCTATGTATAATTTCCTCACAGGTAGTGAGAAAAATTAACATTAAGTCAGCAGACTTGCATGTACTTAGCCTTAATAGATGATCAAATGAATCCATAAATGTTAGTTTTAAGGAAACATACTTGGAGAAATTAAGTAACGTACTCAAAGTAGCATAGCTGGTAAGCTAAGGGCTGCTATTGGAATACAGGTCTGACATCAGAGCACATCCTGTCTCTAATGGGATCGCACCACCATGGGAGGACTCTGGTGCTCTGATGAGCTGTGTCGGTGGGCTGTTTGGTCTGGTTTAGGTGGGCGTTGGAGCAACAGAGAACTCAAACTCACACAAAGCAATACATAAAGAGCCTGTTCCTTAAATGTCAGTAAGGGAGATGGGGATCTCTCAGAACCCAAAACCAGACTCACGGATTCACTTTCTCTCTCTCTCTCTCTCTCTCTCTCTGCTTTTAACCTGCCTCAGCCATCCTACTTATCTGCTTTTCTGAGATTCCTTGTCCCACCCCTCTATCCCTCTACTTGCCCGCCCCCCCAATACTGGCTGGCTTCCTCTGCATCATAGACTGTGCTTCCTCATACTGGACTCAGAAGAGTCCATCACGGCCCCTCTGACCTCTCTTGACACTGTGGTGATTGTACATGTGTCCTTCCAACCTGATTCCTGCTGTGCATCCACCTGATCAGGTCCTCCTCAATCTGTTCTGGCCTCATTTCTCATAGGCCTCCCTCAAGTCTGGCTTACTTTGCTATCTTCCTTCTATTATACTTTATTTCCAAAATTAACTCAGGTCACCTTACTGTCCTTTATGGAGCATGAGCAACTGAAAGGGAAGAAGTAATAGAGGTGGGGAACTGAGAAAATATATGCTCTTGGCTTGTTATCGGAGATAAGAGAGAGCCTGCTGTAGGACAGTGTTAAAAACAGACCTGGGAGCCAGGAGACTAGGGGCTAGTTAGTCCCAGTTACACGACTAACTAGCTGTCTGATTTTGAGCAAGTCAGTTAACCCCCCTGGGCCTCAGATCTCCCATCTATAGAGTCATGACTGAACCAGCCCGTCTCTCAGGGCTCTTTGTGCTGGGTCTGATTGTGTTGTTGAACGTGTGGTCCTCAAATATCTCTCAGGAAGTAATTCAGTTATAACTAGTTAGTTTTGGTTTCTGCTTTAGGAAAAATAACATAAAAAGTTTTGAAAATATCTGAATTTGAGAGCTGCTATCTCCCATTAACCACTAATACTAGAGTTACTTATATGTCCATTTTCGGGCGTATTAGCTGCTAAATATAAATTACTACTTTTTCCTCTTGATAGCCTGAAACAGAGACACATATGTTAAAAGCTCCACAAATGTTTAGAGTGTTTTTAAACTTAATATCAGGAAAAGGTTAAGTTCCACTGTCTGTTTAAACAAAGACTTGACAGCCGAGCAGCACATCAGCTCCGGACACGCCCAAACACACGGTTTATTGGGTGGAGCGCAAGTGCGTCTGGTCCACAGAGTAAACTCTTCCACCTGCGGCGTTAGCACAACTCTGAACAAGGTGAAAGGGAAGTAAATCAGACTAAGGGAACCCACTTGCCTTATTTTTTAGGGCTGGTTTGAATGTGCTAGTTACTTGGCACCAGTCAGACACTAATAAATAAAGACCAGTGAAGACCCCCTGGAAGGCCAAGACACACAGTTTCTCCTGTTCTGCGCAGTGCTTGTTTGGGGTAGGGAAGGGTGGGGAACAGCTTCAGTGAATGGACTTAGAGTGTTACTTACATCAGTTGAAAGTTAAGTCTGTGCTCAGGAGAGTATGAGGGTCCTCACAGACAAATTTTGTAAAGCAGAATTTGCCATTTCTGGACCACAGTTCCCTTGTTCTTTAGAAAAGTTAATTGACTTTTTTTGTAAGATTTTTTTTCACTCATGAAATATGACTTTTCTCAACCTTAATTTTCACGATTTCATAACTTACCAAGTTAACATTTGTGATTAAATCATCTCACAGTGCACGCTAGAAACTAGTATTAGAAAAAGATGGTGTGTTTTTAAATACTGCAGTCTAAATACTTGTGCTTTCTCCTTTGTTTCTTTTCGTTTTACCATGGAAATATTATTCTGATCATCCCTCATAAATCTTTGTTTTTTAGAATTTATTGTAAAGTTGTCATTTTAGCTTTAGTAGTAATTAAAAATAGAAATTTCAAATGTACTTCAATGGCAGAAAATGATATAACCATTATACTGAGAAAGAAAGCATTCCAGGGAAGACGTTAGCACTTGTGAGACTAGGATATCAAAGAAGAGAAGCAGTCGTATTTTCAGAACTCTTAGTTAAGCCAAACATTTAACATAGGCATTGATTTAAAAACAGCCCTTAGTTTTTCATTTTCAGATAGTGTTTTAAAAGAAGACCTTCCCACATCAGATTGAAAGAATGTTGATATAATGTTTGAATTATGGGTCAGTCTTAACAACAGTAGGCTTTTTCTTCTCACCACTAGTATAAGGTCACTGCGTGGGTGTACTGGAATTAAGGCTTGCTAGATCGCATTTTTAACTTGTCATATGAACCCAAAGCAAAACTACTATCTGAGTCTTGTGTTTGGTCAACCTGAATTTTAGGAGCCATGGATCATGATCACCACTTCGCATTACACTCATCAGCTAAGGACAGGAAAAATGCAGTTGTTGCAGCCAGCTCATGAGTACACTGAGGAATTTTGGTTTGCCCATTTATTTTTTAACTAACTGGGAAGATTGGAAATCACTGGAAAAGACTGGATTCGGACCCAGTTATTCCCTTTAGAATACACAAACATGAATGGGCATATATAGACATATATAATATGCCTACCAGTATTGATGGCTAAGCAAAACACTCCCAGTGTTTTGTTCTCTGCTATGTTAATCCCAAGAAATGGGCATTTTATTCCAAATACAATTTATCTAAATAATATATGAGTTTGTGATTTTGAAAATTCTTATTGCTTTGATATCCAGCAAGTTCCTAGTTTGCAATCGTTCTTGCCGCCTTTCCCTCTGCACTGACTGCTGACTCAGCCGAGAACGTTATGAAGGGACATTCAGAACTACGTTTGTTGTAGCTGTTGAGCAAATGCTTCCTTCTTTAAAATGCATGTTCGTCCTCTCTTGCAGTTTGTAATGTCTGGCTGGGGTACAGGTTATTCATTTCGATGTGAAATTGTTGACTATTCACAGTCGCCTACAGCATTGAGGGTAAGTTTCTCTTGGGAAAACATAACTCAAAATCAATGTTAAAACTTTTTGGACTCTATTTGTAACACTTAAGGTAAACTCAGAATGAGTAAGTGACTCAGTTATTAGACTATATATATTGAAAGAAAAAAGCTAAAGCTTACCAACCAGAAAGAATCAAGGTGTGTTATATTCTATAACATGAAAATTGGTGCTTTTCTTTTTGAATTTCTTGAATTTAAAAATAAATTCATATCTGTTTCCTCAAAAACTAGAAATAGAATTTATATGATCCAATAATTCCACTTCTGGGTATATACCTTACAAATGAAAAGCAAAGACTGAAAAAGATATTTGTACACCCATATTCATAGCAGCATTATTTAGAGTAGCCAAAAAGTGGAGGCAATCTAAGTGTCCATTGGTGAATGAATGGTTAAACAGCATGCATGTATACATTCAATGGAATATTATTCTGCCTTAACAAGGAGGGAAATTCTGACATGTGCTCCCACATTCATGAACCATGAGGACATTATCTAGTGAGATAATCTAGGCACAAAAGGACAGGAGTACTGTATGGTTCTATTATATGAGGAACCTAGAGTCAAATTCAGAGACAGGAAGTAAAATGGCTGTGGTCAGGGGCTGGGGGAAGGGAGGTGGGGAATTGTTTAATAGGCACAGTCTTGGTTTTGCAAGATGAATTAAGAGTTGTGTGGATGGGTGGTGGTGATGATTGTGCAACAGCGTGAATGTACTCAGTGCCACCGAACCGTACCCCTAGAAGTAGTGAAGATGGTAAATTTTATGTTATGTGTATTTTGCCAAAATTTTTTTAAAAACTGGTTTTTCTCCATGTAAAAAAATAAATTTACATTTCTGTTTCTTTAGATGGTACGCACCTGCTGGCTTTATTACTTCTCCAAATTTATCGAGCTACTAGATACTGTGAGTCTGTAGTCATCTCATTTGATAAATGTTTAATGTTCCATGGAAGCAATAAACTGCTAGAGTTCAGTTATCTGATAACTTCAGTTATCTCTCCTCCTCAGGCATTTTATTATCAGTAATTTTAGAGAATAGATAGGATAAGCTTATTTTCAGTCTTTTGCACACTCCAGAAGGTTTTCTTATGTATCCACCACCTGTTTAAGATAAACACGTAGCTGTTGAATACACTATAAAACTGCATTTTTTTGTAGATGGATGACAGTTGTTTCAGGAAGCAGGTTTGGGAAGGGAAAAGCAGAGGACATTTTACCTTTGGTCCTTCTCACAAAAGCACTGCGTCATCCGTACTCCTTTAAGAGGATAAATGCTTCAAAGTTCATACACTTACACAGTAATGTTAAGTTACCCCTGGCATATCAGTAATTTTAGTAATATCAAAACTACCTTCAGCTGCCCTCTGAGTCCTCTCTCTGAGTGGGGATAAACTCTGAATCTGGGTGACTGAGCCCTGGGAGAAGTGAGTGCCTTGGATTAGGGTCCATAAGGAGAAGAAAGTGGTGTGCCTTCATTCCCAAAGTAGGAAAGCTGAATGATTATTGTATATTTGTGGCATGTGGGTCTTGGTTATCCAGAACCAGTCCTGGGCCTAAGACAGACAAGTGTGTTCTCTCTTCAGAATACATACCACTACATTTCTTGTGGCAAATCTCAGTGTGTTTATCCTTCTCAATGTTATAATTGGAAAGGACTTCAGTGAGCCTGGAATCACTCCTGTGGTTCCCAAACTATATGTGGTTCCCATGCATTAGGATCCCCTGGAGAGCTTGTGAAAAACACAGATGCCCATATCCCACCCCTAGAGTTTCTGATTCAATAGGTCTTGGGTGAAGCTCAAGAATTCACATTTTCAGCAAGTTCCCAGGTGGTGTTGTTACTGTTGGCCCAAGGTCCACACTTTGAGAACCCTTGTGGGATGGTCCAGTGGTTTTCAGTCCGCACGGTGCAGTAGATTCAATTGTATTAGCAAGTGAAGAGCCTGGGCCCCATCCTCAGAGATTTGGTGTTAAATGGTCTAGAGTAGAGACCAGGCATGGCTATTTTAGAAAAGCTTCTTAGACATTGTAATACATGGCCAGGGTTGAGAACTATTGATCTATTAAAGCCCAGAGCTCTCAGTCTGAAAATACATTGATGCCAAGAGGTTAAGTGACTTACCCAAAGGAATTCTGCTACCGATGGGCTAAGACCCCAGATTGCTGTTTTATGGCTTTTTCTACTGCACCATGCTGCTTTCTCTCATGTGCATAAGCAAATGCATTTTGACTTCATTTTTTCTGCTTTGCATGTTCTCAGTTCTAGCTTCCATAAGGAAATGGTTGCCACCTCTATGTCCTTCTTTAAACCAGGCTTCTGAAATACTCCTATGAGTACTGCTCCTCTGCTCAGTCCCATATTTAAAAGTCTAACTTATCATTGCTCTCCTGAATGTTGAGTATTTTTTGACATTCAATTCTGCTTTTGAATATTTTTTGAAATAAATTTTCTCCAAACCCTTTACATTCTACTTCTTTGTAGAGTTTCTGCAGACCACTGGGTACGTTCTGTCTGGGTTGTGCCTTTGCTACCTTTCTCATTTTTCCAAGGCAGTTTCACTTTCTTTTCCATCCTGTTTTCCCAATTAACTCTTCAAACTTTTCCCTCTTCACTGTTCTTTAATTATAACTTGCTAACCTTGATTTGTTGCAAGTCCTCTTTCAGTTTGCTAATCCCTCCCCTCAATTAGTAGGATGTGTTAGAGAGCAATGCAGAATAATTTCAGTCATAAGAATTGATTCCCTACCTTCCCATATACTTCAAAATCCATGTGGATTTCTTTTTGACCAATAATATTTCTTTTGATTATTTTTGGCCATAGTCTTGTCTTTACATCTTTGATTTTCAAATCTGCATGCAATTTCTTTTTACCTTTTTATCGATTCTCCTGTGACTAGGCATCATGCCAATTAGTTCCTTCATACCAATTCGTTTTTGAACTGCGCCTTGGAGAATCAGCTGCTTCTGGGAGCATCCATAAGTCAGTCCTTTCAAAGCAAATTATGATGTGAAATAGTTTTCACTTTGCCAATATTTTTATAACTCTCGATGAATTATTGCATGATTTTATATGAACTTGATTTTCTTTAAATTATTTCAGATCTTTTTTGTTCTGCGTAAGAAAAATAGCCAAGTGACTTTTCTGCATGTCTTCCATCACACCATCATGCCATGGACCTGGTGGTTTGGAGTCAAATTTGCTGCAGGTAGCCAAGGGAGATGGGGATCATTTATCATAAATAATATCATTTTTTATGCTATAAACACTAACTCTATTTTTAAATGTGATTTAAGGGAAACTCAAAACATCAAAGAATTGCTTTGATCTAACTTTCATTATTACTTTAAACCTAAATGCAGGACTCTTACCTAGGTCCTTCTCAACCCTTCCTTTAGGAAGGCATTGACTTTTGGGTACAGTTGCTACACATATTTTTTTAGCTGTTTTGTTTGGATTTTATTTTTTCCCCATAGAGTTCTATTAAATATCTTTAAATAAATAAATAATAATAAATAAATAAGATGATAAAAGTCTTGGTTTTATAGAATTATAGCTATATATCTATTCCTTATATGTATTTAGAGAGTTGAATGTTTAAGCTCCACATCTTATTTGTTTTCAAATTTCTAACTGCTGGTACTTACTCTAACCCCTAGCAGTTCTTTAGAGATGTGTCAAATTGCAGTTTTAAAGCATCCTACCGTATTAAAGTTTTGATATTATTTTTTTAAGTCAAGAATAGTTTAAATCAAAAGCTGTTGGGTTTGGTTTGGGTTTTATGTTTTTGAACATCTACAGTTGGAAAAAACCAGGAAGTTAAGTATTTTTATCTTATCATAAAGTTTTTAAATAAGTGATATTTCCAAGGACATATTCTTATGTTATTAGCAAAAGTTGGTTGGGGATTTATTTATGGCAGTTTCTTAAAGTTAAGTAGTCTTCAAGTAGGCCTGCAGCCTATCTTAGACTATGTTTTAACAGTTCTCTGAACGGCTCACCTCTATCAGTCATTCTGACTCTGCAAGACTGAAAAAACAAAAAAAGAGGAACCACCGTCAAGGAACTTTCATTTGAGCTTTAGACTCTCTGGGCATGGGGAAAAAATCCGCATGTCTCAGAGCATGAGAGGACATGGATAGGCCAGCCGAACAAAGGACAGGCCAGACCTGGAGGAGCCAGGAGGGCTGTCCCTACCATGTCTGTGGGCATCGGATTTTCCAGTAGGGACAGTGTCTCCTTGCCCCAAATTGGCATTTATTTGTTGATCATTTTGAAAAAGTAAATGTAGCTGTTTTGTCTTATAATGTATGTTAATGTAAAAATTGAATTCACACTACAAGATAGTCTCATTTGTATCTGTTTCACAGGTCAGGGGTAGCTATATTATCTAATCTCCATTATTTTACTTACCTCGACTTTTTTCCTTCCACATGCATGTCGTGCCTCTCAGTTCTCTTTATAGTGATATCATTGCCATCTTGTTTTGCCTGGGTGAAATGTTGGAAAAGGCCTGAACAACCACTAATTGAATGGTTATCGTTTCTTCTGTGTATATAATTGTGAAACACAAATGATACCGAGAGGCATCTAGCTGCTTTTTAAAGCAACTTGTCTCCTAAATTATCAGAAATACGTGAATATTCTATTTTTAAAGTATTCTAGAAGATGTTCTTTTATACCCTTATAATTTATTTATTCAGATTTCTTTCATGAGACTAGAAAATTATCACAACACTGAAAAAATATATAAAAATAGACAAAAAAGATTGGAAAGCAATTCCCCAAAATACAGTGATTTAGAGATGTTGGCACAAAAAGTGGTTTCTGTGTTCTCTGTTCATCTCTACATTTTCTGGTTTTTCTGTATTGAATACCCATTCATTCTATAATGGGAAAAATAAATTGCACTTGAAGAACAGAGTTGAGCACTTTCCTAATTTTTATCTTTCAATCCACTTCAAAAAAATGCTTTCAAGAGCCCTAGCTGGTGTAGCTCAGTGGATTGAGTGTGGGCCTGTGAACCAAAGGGTTGCAGGTTCGATTCCCAGTCAGAGCACATGCCTGGGTTGCAGGTCAAGTCCCCAGTGGGAGCTACATGAGAGGCAGCCACACACTGATGTTTCTTTACCTTTCTTCCTTTCAACCTCTCTCTCAAAGTAAAGAAATAAAAATCTTTTCAGAAAAGTTTTCAAGAGTAACAATTTAAACACCTGATATACCTCAATTTTTCAATGTTACCATGTTTATGGACATTAAGCACTTTGTAGTGGGTTCATTGTCCATACCTTAATCTCCCTTCTGCTTTACAAAATGTAAAGAGTGGAAAATAATGCTTTTTAGTCTCATGTGCTCCATGAGTTGGCACTCCTGTGCAGCCTCCACGTGGCCTCCAGTAGACACACGTACTCCTGCTGTCCAGTCAGCGGGCAGCGCGGCAGTAAGAGCTAACGTGTTTCCAGAGATGTGGTTTGGCATTGGCTTCCATTCCTGCACTGAAACTGCCCGTTTAAAACTGTTCTTTCAAAAACTTGAGCATAGCTGATCTCTATTTAGTGTTTAATTTCCTGTTTTTCTATTTTCGTACAACTGTCTGGGATAACAGCAATCCAGCTTTTCTTTTGAATGTGATGCAAATATTTTTGTGACAGGTCTTTTATATTATGCACAAACTCCCTTCCAGAGATACAGAGAATTAAAATAATCACCCGGGTGATTCCTTTCTTTTTCCCAAACCAAAAGAGTAAAATGTGACGGCACTAATTGTAATTCATTCTGAGATGTTTCCTTTGCACAACTGTTATTACAAAGAAGAAGGCAAACTTAGAAAAAACTTGATTAGAGAAGCCTTTCAAAGAAGATATGAAAAACATTGCTAATTAAAATGTGATTGTTTTGTGAACAAACTCATTAAAATAGCTTATCAGGAAATAATTATACACTAGAGAAAATATGCAAGTTGATTTTGATAGCTTATTTTTATCAGTAATCCTTACTAAACGCTCTTAGCTTTACTACTGCTTTGTTAAATTCCTGTCTATAGAATCCTCATTTTAGGACATTTAAATGATGGAAGTTTATGAATGGGAATATGGACATATACCAAAAATTGAGAGTGCTGCCTTAATGAGACAGGCTCCGATGAAATCGGTTATCAAGGGTACAGTAGATTTCCTGTGTGTTTTTTAACCACGAGGCGCAAATAGAATTGAGAGGTATTTGGCATATCCCCGTGAAGCAGCTTATTTCTTTAAATATTTAATATTTATTTAAATTTCTTTTGGAAAAGAAGACGAGCCCAAATGTAAATAATAAAAGCTTCAGTTTCTTCTGATTTAAAGTGTGTGATAATTAAAGTATCAATTAAAATTTTATTTACTCAGAAAGGGAAAGTTTATGAAGGGACAGTACATCATAAATGAGGCATTGGAGGAATGCTTAAGCTACTTAAAATAATTATTTAAAACAGGTTATTTTAAGGGAGTACCTTAGCAGTGGTAATACCTGGAATTGCCACAATTATAAATGATTATTAAAAAATAATTAGTTTCTACTATGTAACAATTTTACTTTGCTTTAAACTTTCTGTAATTCATAGTATTCATGAATTTGGTTCTTCTTCTTACACAGTTAATCCAAATTTGTGAGGTTTTGCTTTATTTCTGAAATTAAAGTACACTGGAATAAAGAAACTAGAATATTTTGGAGAAAAATTTAAATTTAAGGCCAACATTACTAAGCTGAATTAGGCTATACATAAAGAATGCAGGTTCTTCTAGACTGTGCCACTTTGGAAAGAAATGCTAGGGAAGAGTTTTATTTCCCCCACTACCAACTAATCACCCAGCTACGCCTTCCACTTGACCACTGGCCCAGGTAAAGGTAGTTGAAATGATCTCGGTTTACAGTCCCTCCAGCATTCTTTGCTTCTCAATTAAATGTGACCAGTAGGAGGTGTGGGGAAATCAGACGATGAAAACCAAGCTAGAAAGGCACAATTTATAAAAACCAAGTGGAAGCAGTAAACAAAGATGGTTTAACAATAAATGTTTATTTTGGAAAAATAATAAATGATTAAAGCAAACTTAGCATAGTTTACTAATGGAAGCCAGTGGTTTTACTGCCAAAGTTTTATGGTACTAAAAATATTTATTGAAAATTGAGAGTATAAAAAGGGAATTTGATTTCACACAATGGTATATGCAAAAGTATTCTTAGTGGTTTTATTCATAATAACCCCAAATGGAAACAATTCAAGTGTCATTTTTTTAAAGATTTTTAATTTATTTTTAGAGAGGGAAGGGAGGGAGAAAGAGAGAGAGAAAGAGAGAAAGATCAATGTGCGGTTGCTGGGGGCCATGTCCTGCAAGCCAGGCATGTGCCCTGACTGGGAATCGAACCTGCAATGCTTTGGTTTGCAGCCCACGCTCAATCCACTGAGCTATGCCAGCCAGGGCTCAATTCAAGTATCTTTTACTAAGAGAATGGATAAATTCTAATGTATTCATATAGTATAATACTATATAGTAATAAAAAGGCAAACTAATATGCACACCAACATGGATGAATATTAAAACATGCTGATTGAAAGAAAGGCACAAAAGAATATATCAATTCTATTTATATGAGCCTTAAAAGCAAGCAAAACTAATACTTGATTGTAGAAATCAGAATAAATGTTACATTGTGAGGGGTGTATTCTTTGAAAGGGGATGTGGGAACCTTACCTGGTGTCCTAAATGTTTTATATCTTGAATTTGGTGATGGTTCTGTAGGTCTATGCATACATAAAAAATCTATCAAATTGTACACTTAAGATTAATGTACTTTGTGTTCTTTATATATGTTAACCCTCACTAAAAATGAATTTGATTACTGTTATTTAGCAATATATTGTGTTTAAAAAGTAACTCAAATTAGATTGTTAAAGTAAACTCAAATCATAAGCCCATCTTAAGTCAAGATATTATAGCATAAAGACATGATCATTTATTTTCTAAGACTTGCAGATATTTTACTAAATGAGTATATTTTCCAGCTCCTTCTGATTTCATAGCTGTTTAATAAGATTGATATTTCATATACTGTATGTTTTTTCCCACTAAAATTAAAGAAATAAATATACTAAAATCTCAGTTCAGGCAAAAACATGCCTCACTGTAGGAATAGTGCCCTCAGTTTACAATAATTTTATTTTCCAGGTGGTTTGGGAACGTTCCACGCCTTTGTAAACACAGCTGTGCATGTAGTCATGTACTCCTACTATGGACTATGTGCATTGGGACCAGCCTACCAGAAGTACTTGTGGTGGAAAAAACATTTGACATCATTGCAGCTTGTGAGTAGTTAATTTTCTTTAAGACAACATATGAAACTAGAGTCACTTATCTTCCCTGTGAATTAAGATATTAACTACATAAAGAACAGAGTTTACAAAATGACAGGGATATGAAGCGTCTGGCCTCTATATGGCATCACGTCATTATCGTTTCTTGTTTAAACTTTTGTCAGGAACTTTACTGACAGCAAAGCATATTTGTTAGCGAAGAGGCTCAGACAATGAAATCAAAATGTGTATCTTTATACCATCTTTGTATTATTTTATGCATTTATATAAAATAAACATTTATGACCAAAATAATCTCAAAGTTATGTGAACCTCAATAGACATAATATTAAATTAGAAGTTAGAAGTTTTCTTTTCTATTCTAGACCTGAATGACCTTGAGGGAGTGTAACTTTAAGGGAATTATGAGCCTTTAAGGGAATTATGAGCCTGCCAATTTAGCCCTCACATTTCTAAGTCTATTTTCCTCCAACTTGTAAAAGTACTGTGAGGATTAAAAGTGGGCAGTGGTAATATAATACATATATTGACAAAATCGACAACACTCTAAATAGCCAAACATGAGGGAATAAATTATTTTAATTTCTACTTTGGAGTATTACAAAGTCATGAAAATTATTCACCATTGCTTTCTTTTTAAGAGTTTTTTTCCCCTGATAACATAAATTAGAGCACTGTCCTCAAGTAACCACTGTTGAGGAGAGCAGAGGTGCTCAGTTTAGGCCTGATGATACTTCCCAACCATTAATCCTAAAAATATATGGCATGTATATATATATATATATTTTTGAAGAGTAACCATGGGTTGATATGATGATTTGCTTCAAATTTTGTCTTCTATTAAAAGAAAAATTCTGTGATCCTCATCTTTTTAGATTTACAGTCTATAATAATATAGTGTTGTATTTTGCCAATAATGCTAAGGAGAAAGCACAAATTTAGGTGTATCTAGCCCACTGAATCATGATTTCTATCAAAATCCTACAACTTGTTACATGACATTTGGCATATTTATATAATGTGTTACCCCAGGTGAGAGACTGACATTTTAGTCTGTAAGGATCTTAAATCAGTATCAGAGTCCTTCCTTGCAGCGTTGTTTACTGTATTTAAGATTGAAAACGCCCTAAATAAGCAACCCTAAGGAAGTGGTGCAATACACTATTTTAACTCCTCCTTTGGAAAATGTGGAAGTCGTGAGAATTATTCACAATTGCTTTCTAAGTATACTTTCTTATTTTAAAGTAATATGTGCTCATTGCAGAGAAATAAGAACATCAAGTTAAGCAAAGAGAAGGAAAAATGAACATGGTTGAGTCACCAGGGATAATCAGAGCTGATATTTTATTTTATTCTTATCTAGTGTTTTTCCCCTGTGTATATACATTGTATACCTTTTGCATGATTTGTATTATACTGCCTATAAAATTTAGTGTTAGGTTTTTTTCACTTAGCATACTCTTAAATTTGTAAGACTTTTTAATAATGTAGGAAAATACTTACATAGAAAGTAGAATAGATGTTTGTTCATTATTATTTCCAATGCATCAGTTATACACAATCACACCTGCATAGAATGTTGAGGATGTCGCTTAGGCTTCCTAAGGTTTCATTTCTTCTTCTGCAAAATGAGAGGAATAATTATAGCTACTGCACAGAAATGTCACAGAAGTTCTTTAATATAGTATAAGAAAAGTTGATGGTGATAATAAAAGAAACTATGTGGAAATCTTAACTATAGTGATAACTGGATGTATCGTGGGTAACTATTATTTATTTTTATTTATAGAATTTTTACTTTTCTAAAGAATACATGTTGCCTTTCAATTTTAAGGAGAAAAAATATATCCAAAATAAAATTTGACATTAACCCAGAAGTGTCCCCTTAAGATTGTGTGGAATGTTCTAGAACACAGTCTTTGGGCATCACTGGGAGGGTCTAAACCTGTCTCAGTCCTTGCAGAGTGTCTGCTGCTGTTGGCAGATAGAATATATTGTTTATCTATGACAGTGGAGGGCAAATGGCAGAGATGGAGACTCAGGCACTTTGGCTCCTACAAAATTGGCAGGGCTGTAATTAGAGTGTTTTTATTTCCACATAATTGAAACACCTGATCTAACAGCAAACTATTTGAAATTAAAACTATTCTAAATATTAGGCCATAAGGCAATGACCTCGTGAGCATCTCAGCAGTCAAGGACTCATGTCAAAGACTTGCAGAAAAACTGCCCTGATGGCTTTCTGCATGTGAAAGGGCTGGCACGTCACACAGCTCCAGGAACATTGGCCTGAGGTCTCTGGAGTTGTGCGGTTTGGTGGCCCTGAAGAGTGGATCCACATTCCCATCTGAATTTTGACACTATTCCACCCACTGTCACTCCCATGGAGGTTAGATTGAAAGATAAAATTCCCTACCCAGCTGTAGCCTGGAAGTGGTTGGAGAGTGTTGAAACATAAACAGGCAAAGAATGCATTAACTAATTGCTCTTGTGACTCTTCATGTCTGAACTATTTTTCATTCTTTCATCTGTTAGGTCCAGTTTATTATTGTCACCATCCACATAGGCCAGTTCTTTTTCATGGAGGATTGCAAGTACCAGTTTCCAGTCTTTCTGTACATCATTATGAGTTATGGGTGTGTCTTTCTGCTGCTCTTTCTCCATTTTTGGTACCGAGCTTACACAAAAGGTCAGAGGCTGCCCAAAACTGTGAAAAATGGAACCTGCAAAAACAAAGACCACTGAAATTTGAGCACCACATGAATCTATGAATGAGACTGATACCTGATCTTCCTTGACAATCAAGATATATTTCCATGTGCAGTGCATTTTGTATATTTTTCAGAATCAAGAGCTTGTATTTTTATGATAAGCTATGGGGGTTTCTGATATTTGAGAGCTCAAGCTCCCAGGTAACAGAGTCTTCTGACAGTAAAGCAGCCAGTTTTTCAGCTGCTTTTAAACCTCATCTAAAGGTTCTGGTTGATACATTCTGTTACAATAAAGGATTGTGTGAAGTTGTACAGTACTTTTCAAAGAAGTTCCATATAAATGAAAAATGTCATTAGATATTTTGAGTACGGACAGAGATCCATGCTGTACAATGGATTCCTTCTGCCAGGTCTGAAAACCTCAAACTGTGGGCTCTGGCTTTGTAGTTTGTTGACGACACTCAGAAGACACTCTGTTTATTCTAGAGTTAAATTCCCGTTCTAAAGAACTAACAAAGTGAACATTAAGTGAATTTTAGATAAGTTGGTCATTTAACATCACTAACAATAATTTTTCATGGATCTCTGGAGTGCCCACCACCAGTTTTGCTGACAAGACTTTCTCACAACCTTTGATTGTATAAAGTATTTAGAAGTAACACTTTGATGAGCACACTGATGCACTTGACACTAAGGTTAATGTTTGAAAACAGGTGATTTGTTCTGATGGCTTAATTGACACTTTGCTACGACTGTTTTTCAATTATGTTTGTGTATTTCTAGAAAGAGGTGAGTTTGTCAATGGAAAAAGTACTATGTTATTTCACTGGGAAAAGTACTGTGTTATTTTAGTCTGTCGTGTTATAATGTCACTTTCTAATATTGCCATGGTTTAAAAGGTTATCTTTTTTTATGGGGAATTCTTTTTTTTTAAAATTATTTTGTTGTTGTTAAATTACAGTTGTCTGCATTTTCTCCCTCCCCCTCCCCCCACCCCCTCCAAACCCATCTCCCTCCCTTGCTTTCACCCTCCCCCTTGGGTTTGTCCATGTGTCCTTTAAAAGGTTATCTTGGTTAAACGTATACTGGTTAGATGTGAATGCTCATGTTGTCAGCACACAGCAGGGAGCCTGAGATCGTGAATGATTTCAGACCACCCATCGCAGTTTGCAGACACGTGTTTAAGTGGCCTGTGAGGCAATTGGAGGCAGATGGTGACACAGAGATTATCCAGGGAAGATTCAGTTGTACAAGCATCTCTCTCAGCAGAGAATACATAACAGTTATTGTTCTAGATATACTGCATGAAAAAATATTTTCCAGAATTGTTAATAGCCTGAACTTCTTTTTACAAACTTATAACTTATATAATGAAGGACTAAAATTTATTTTGCTTCTTTAAAACTGCTACTTTTTAAAATTCTCTTGTTCTCAAACCCAAACTAATGGTCAGTAGATTTTTATCCAAGAAACACAAATATTTAGACATCTAAAAATTTTTTCTTACAGCTTATTTTTCCCTGCTATATTTATGCTGTATTTTTGAAAGACTCCTTATGCTTGTATGACTTTGAACAATTAGCACTGTATGACTCAGTTATTGTGTAACACCCAGTGATCCTTACTGTAAACAAAGTCCAAGTGTTTACTCAATTACTCACTGTAATTGCCCACAGTCCTGTGTCTTCCAAGCCTATTAATCTGTTCCATGGCCTTTCACACTTAGCAGATTCATAAGGTTATGTGCCTTTAAGTGACCTTTAGTGACTTCACTTGCTTAGAGTACAAGAAGATGAGGGTTGAAAATGGGGGGAATTAATACCTTTAAAAATAAAGAATAAAGGACGGGAGAGCAGAGCTCAAAGAAGCAGAGATCTAATTCACCTCTCAGAGAGACTCAGGATTCCCAAGGTGTTTTCTTGTTTTGCTTCTTCAAATCCAGCTCGTGCTAAATGAGAAGGTGTGGTAGGTGCTGCTACATATACATACAATTGCCAAAGACCCCAGCAGGGTAAAGACCAAGAGCAAAAAACAAAACATAAAAATGAAAAGAAATAAAAGAACTTAAAGCAACAGATTTTGATTCCTTTCCTTGCATACTTTCTAACCTGCCTTGTACAACCTCTCCTAACCACGTGGTAGTCTTTGAAATATTTGACATGCCTATCAGCTAACAGCAACATGTGAGGGGAACATCCTAAGTTGCATGAATCAAAGTGGAGAGCTAGAATGTTACATGAAAAGAAATCACAGTTGGCAGAAGCGTCTTCCATGTAAACATGAGCAGATCAAAATGCATACACTGGATGCAGAACTTGCACAGGCAGTGTTTTATTAAAGGGCTTTGTGGGTCACAGAGAGTTTCTCCTGGGGCTTCATCCCACTTTTCCAGACATTATTGCCTTTGGATTTGCTCACTTAACAAACAGATAAAGAGCCCAGTTACAAAATCTGGTTTATGACATAAGGCTTTATGAACCCTTGAGGACATATATTCTATAAACAAATAGAAATGCAAAACTTTAAGTGTGTAAGGGACATTGCAATTTTACAGTTTTAATTTAGTAGAATTCTTAATTTAGTAGATTATGTTATCTAAATTATAAGATTATGAGGTTACATTTTCTCATTCTATCCCTTCTTTCTGTCATGTTTTTAAAGACTGGAGAGACCCCTGGAGATTGTTAGTTTTGGTTGTGTGTCTGTGTATTATAATAAATTAGTGGTGTTACATGTGTGCGTACGTGTGTATATTATAACAGATTTGTGGCATTGTGTGTGTGTGTCTTTCATTTGGACTCTAACTGCATATGTTTGCATGGGTAGGTGGTTTTTAACCTAAAGTCTCATTTATCCAAAGCATTTTACACATCTGTTGTATACTTGCTATGTTCAGAGCCCTGTGCTAGACATTAGAGTGATAGAGATGCCTGTGGTGTAGTTGGGACCTCCTGGAGCTCACAGACTGGTAGAGGAAAGTATGTTACAGGACAGTGTATGACAGTTGCTGCATGGGTAGAAATCCTGTCACTTGGCAAACAGGAAAGGCTCTATGAAGAAGTGTGAGCTTGAGTTCTGTGTTTAAGACGTACAGAATTTCAAAATGGGTGGGGGGTTAATGGGCAAGGTGTTCTAAGTAAAAAGAAATAACAAATCAAAGGCCAGCAGAAGGAACGTATTAGAAAAGTTACAGGAATGGCCAATGGACCAGTCATAGTGAGGCTTCCTGTAGGTGCTTCTAGAGAAATGAGGCCAGCTAGGGAGGCGGGCTTTGACATGCGGAGGCGCTGCTGCAGCGTCTGGGAGGATTCTCCAGGTGAGTGGGAGTATTCAGTGGTTTGTGAGAGAGAAGAGATGTGATCGAAGTGGTACCTTAAGAAGTGTCATCTGGTGGAGAGGGGTTGGGTGGGGGCATGAGACAATAAAAGCAAAGTTAAATAAGTTTATTAAGGGTAAGGTGAAGAGAGCTGCTGTGTGTGATGGAAATAAAGAGGCTGAGGAGTGAGACCTTATGGTGAGTTGGATCTGGAGATGGACCTGCTAAAGTTGGAACGTGTAGCACGGTCCAGGGCAGTGGTGTGGTGGTGTGGAAATCCGGCTGCATTTGAAGCTGTGAGGCATGGGTGTTAGCTGCCATGTGACCTTGGACAAGCTGGTTAACCTCTCTCACCTTTTCTTTCTTCCTCTACAAAATTAGAATACTAGTACACGTTCTTCTTGCTGGATTGTTGTGTGGCTTAAATGAGATGATGTATTTAGAAGCCCTTTGTAGTAATTGATAAAAATATGAAATAACATATGCACAGAGATACAGACTCAGCAGAGTTGAGTGGGAAGGAAAAGAAAGTGAGTTCCTAGCTTAAGACAGGGTGAGCATCATGGTTCTTCCCACTTCAGGTAGAATACAGTGTGTGTTGATTGGGATGGGTTGGGATAAAAGTTGTAAATGTTTCCAGCAGATGTTTCCAACAGTGGAACAGGTTCATAGCATGTCCTGTGATATTAGGCTGTCCCAGAGCAAGGACTAGAAGGCTCTTACTTTTATGTGGTTATCTGGATGTTGTCGTGGCTTTTACTGACAGCTGGTATCAGGTCAGACTGTACATGTACATATAACCCCCAAATTCTTTCAAACTACAATGCTATTAACATCCAAAGAGCCTTTGTGTTTACATTCAGCCTGCAGCATTATAGAAATATTGCTGTATCTTCTATATATTCCAGGGCCCATGATATTCCATTATATGCGGGGATAGTCTGGTTACTACAGAGCGAAAGCTTGTTACAAGGTCATAATGGCTTGAAATGCCCAGCCTACACCAGGGGCCATTCTTTGCCTTGTACTCACCAACTTCAATAGGGATGATGTAAGCATCTGACGGTCTGAATGTGAAAGCTGAGCATTCAGAGCTGATGTTTTCAGTCTGAAAAGCTGCACAAATCCCTGTCAGTGTGTCTTGTGCCTGCTTTGTGTTACCTTGTCCATGAATCTGTTCCTTTGTTTCTTTTTATTCTGGAGCCAAACACCCTACTTCAGGCCCGGATACTTTTGCCTAGATTATAGAATTATCCTTGATAGTAATAAATTTTTCTCCCAATATAAAGACTTTTTATCCAACGAGGCTGCTGTCATGGAGAGAAGCTTGGTGCAGTGGTCGAGAGCACAGACTCTGGAACCAGTCCGTCTGGTCAAATCCTGGCGCTGTCCCTTACCAGCTGTGTGACCTAGACATCCTCTCTGTGTCTTTGTGTCCTTACTGAAAATGGGAACGATGAGGTTCCCATTACTTCCCGCATCAGTTTGGCATGGGGATTAGATGAGTTAATACGGCACAGACTTTCAGAGCAGTGCCTTCTTTCTAGTTGTTCAGGCCTCCAACCTCAGAGGCATCCTCAGCTCTTCCCTCTCTCTCACTCAGCACCAAAGGCTCCACCTTAAAGGATAACTAAAATCTGACCACTCTGGGCCCTCCTTTTATCATGCCTCAGTCTATGGAACAGCTTCCTGTCTGACTCACTGCTTCTGCCCTCACCTCCTTACCATGCATTGTCTGCATGTCACTCTTACTCAAAACCCTCCAGTGACACCTGGTTTTGCCTGGAGAAACAGCCAGAGTTTTTACAGTGGTCTGCAAAGCCCTCCGTGATCTGTCTCCTACCTGCCATTGTACCTCCGACCTCATCTCCTGTGACAGCCCCCTGGGCTCCCGCTGCCCCAGTCATGCAGCCTCCTTGTGTCCACTGGACCATGCTAAGCACATTTCTATCTTAGAGCCCTTGGTTCAGCTTTTGCCTCTGCCTGAGGGGCTTTTTCCCAAGTAACTGCTTGGCTGTCACTTCTTCAGTCTTTGCTCCCACTTTCTCAGCTAGGCTCTGTTTACATTACAACCTGTACCTTGGTCTCTCTTTGCTTTGCTCTTTCATTCTTCCATACAGCACTTACTACCTTACAACGTGCTGTACAATTGACTAGTTGGTATCCATATTGTCATCACTTTCTCAGTGAGGCCCTGTTTACATTATAACCTATGCCTTGATGTCTCTCTGCTCTTTCTTCCATACAGCACTTACTACCTTATAACGTGCTGTACAATTGACTTAGTTGTTATTTATCTTGTGTATTGACTGTCTTCCTCATTATAAAGGAGGGTAGTCTTGTCCTCAGGGTAGACCTTGTGGTTTGTTTTGTTCATTGCCAGTATGTAGCACAATGGCTGGCATATTATAGAAGTGAAATGTCTCTCCACTGGAATTTGTCAGGTGTTTTCCTCATGATTAAATTAGTTTTTAGGAGGAAAACAATAGAGGTAAAGTATTCTTATCATGGTGTCATATCAAGGGTACATACTATCAGTATGACTTTAACTTTGTTGAAGTTAACCTTGACCACCTGGTTGAGGTAATGTTACTCTTTTTCCTTCTCCTTTTATACTTTATTTTTTGGAAGGGAGTAATTGCATGCAGACACTTGCCCTGG